TTAAAAAATTCACAACTGAAAATAAATTTATTTACTTTAATTAAAATTTAAAAATTTAATAAAAATTTAATAAAATTTTAAAATAAATTTAATAACGTAACGTGAGATTTTACGTAAATTTTCGCGTACGATTCACAATTGTTTCTCTCTTTCCTCAGAGAGGACAAGTTTCTCCAGCACTGATCAACTGCCACGTCGCTCCAGAGCTCTACCTATCTTGGGGTTTGGTGGGGCCCATCAAAGCCCAACTGTATAAAAAAAATTAAAATGGATTTGGATTTCTGACTGTCTGGTGATTTGTTACCTCAAATTAGACGAAATTTGGACAGGGCGACGACATTGGTACTGTTTTTCAAAAATATATTAGTGGTTTGTACGTGTGAAATTTGAATATGGTCATGTCATTTATTTTATTGAAAGTATGATATGAGAAACTTTCTTATAGTCGACTGTCTTACTAATGGTAGGAAGAACTTTAGATTAAAATTGAAATTTGTGCTCATAAATGATTTGTAAAAATGAGGGATACTTTCTTATAGAATATGTTACAAAATTTATCTTGGATAATTATAAAAATTTAAACACTACCGTGAATTAAAATTAACAAATCTTAACTAAACTAAATAGTATGTAATTTAAAGTAAATTTACGAGAATAAGATGTACAGAAAATAAATTAAACATATTTATTGTTAAATTAAATTGCTATCTACTAATAAATCTAGAAATTAAACTACAGTAGAATTAGAGATTTAATCCTAATTAACACTGAAATAAAACATGAATAGTAAATAAATTAACATGCTTAAAATTAAGAAGAAGCGTGAACGTCGTATAAGTAATCATTGAAGAAATACTACTTATCATAAACATTAAATTAATTGCAGATAGAAAAAGAACAGTATCTTGAATAAATTTGAAAAATTGAAGTTCATTGCATGAAACGAAATTGTTGAAACGAATACATGAATTAGTTTATTTACTAAAATGATGAAAAACAACCTAGATCTACTGAAAATTATGCTGAAATCTGAAATCTGGAAGCAATTGCAGAGAAAATGAAAGTTTGAAAATTTGCAGATGTTTGAGTAGGGCTGACTATGTCTTCCCCCTTCCAAAATTTCCCGGCTGGTAGAAACTCTCCACTCTCTACAGTTACAAAGTTGTTGGTGGTTTCTTGAAGTAGTGGGACAGCTCAACAATTGACCTAGTCAGATCTCCTTCCAGATTTTCGCCACGTGTACTTTTATCAAATAACTCCTTTCTACAACTGCAATATCCTCCTAAATTTCAGTTAAAACAGTCTTTTTTTGACTCAAAAAAGGTAATTATATAGTAAAATCTTATCTTTATTTTTTTTTTTACCACTGTGACAATTGATTTGTCATGGAACCCATAACAACAAATTTGATATGACTTAATCTCCTTCATCCCAGTGTTTTTAAACTCGGCCCGGCCCGGCCGTTGAACCGGTTGAACCGGACCCGGGCTTCAAAACGGGCCGGTTGATGACCTTAGCCCGTTTTGTTAATTAGCCCGTTTTGGCCCGCTAAAACCCGTCAGCCCGCTAAGCCCGTTGAACCCGCTTCACCCGCTGGGCTGAAAATCAATGGGGATTTTTATTAGTTTTAATGTTAATTAAATTATTTTTTTATTTTTAATATAATTTACCTATTTTATCTTTTTTTTTTTGTA